TATCGTATCATTGATCCCATGAATCACAGGTTCTCATGACTCACTGAACAAATCAAGACAGACGACTCTCCAGAGACCTTTCCGTAACATGCTGATAGATTAACCCTGAATAGATTATGTAATTAGAAGTCAAAATTTTCTCTACAGCTATTCATCACTGTACCGCTTCAAAACAAAGCTGAAATTTTATTTTGTCTAATTTGACTATAATTCAAATTTGAACTACACAAAATTCTCCATGTTCAAACAGATTTAAGATTATGTAATTTATCGAAATTTTAAATGATGGTATTATCAAAATGTTTTTATTAATACTGTACGAAAATATTTAAATCGAGCTGTCATAAAATGCAAATTAACTAAAATGCACTGACATGGACATTACATAGATATTAACCGACGTACGTCATACGTGTCCGTACGTCTAATTAACATAAATGTTACCGCTACAGTCTATAATTTTATATCGCTAATTATTACATTTTATAGGGCACATCAGTCTGAAGTCAGTTTCATAATATGATACATATTTAAGTGTCAGAATTACTTAAACAGTTTACATACGACATTACACTACCTTTTATCCAATGCAATGTCCCACATTTTACAAACTACCATCTTTCACGCACCGAACTTCATTTATTTTCCCAACTTTAGCAATTCCATACTTGCCAACATTTTGAAATGTTCCATGGGGGGGNGATGTGCCAGGGGGGGGGGGGTCTGCATGGGGCGTGGGAGGGGGGGATTCTACATGCTCAAAATCAAAATGTGTATTTTACCTCCTAGGGACAAAATAACACTTGAAAATGACATATTTTGAGTCGTTCTTTCATATATATGAAATCAATAGATCTTAGAATATAGGAATAGTATAGCAATATCACTGGTTCAAATTACTAAATTTAAGGGTCCAAAATCGGAAGTCTCCCTCCTAAATAGGGAGAGTTCGCAAGTATGCAATTCCTGGTTTATGTAATTATAATGTCCCAAATTAAATTTCACAAATCTTACTTTAGTTAATTTAATGTCCCGTCTTTCCCCAGCAGAAAAAATAATGAAATATCAAGGCCAATATAAGGTACAATTCTGTACACCAATATAGCCTATTTTGAGCAGACTTTGATTATACATGTGATTGCAATTGGCGTCTAAACTACCAGACAATTTGCACTGCAATATCATACATGGCTGCCCGCCAACATGTGTACAGACACTCGGAAAATGACGTATACATGCGTACCGCTTATTATAACTTAATGTTCTGCAGAAACAGACAGAAACCTTATATCTACATCTATACACCACATATGTCAAGCCTTAATTAACAATGTACAAATTAAAATCCAAATCAACCATTTTTGAAAACATTTCAAATATCTTAACATTTAATTCCCAAAGACATCCCATATTACCATATATGCATAATGCATTGTACATGATACATTATATATATGCATGTGTGTGTGTGTGTATTGCAGGGGTGGGGGCCAGACTATAATTAGAACCATAGAAATTCAAAATACACTTTAATATACAGGTATATAATGTGAAAAGGTATACAATGTAGGTATTTTTACCAGTTGATATTCGGAATGACATCCATCTGAGTTTTGTATGAACAAAAACAGTAATTGCAAGCCTTTTGCGAGCTTTTAAACAAAGAGTGCAAATGACCAGTGTCTCTAAACTGCTGAAAACAATTCACTAAGCCACAATATGACAAGTCAGTAAATTAAAGCCAGCTGTCAGAAAATGTTGAGACATTTCACGAAATAGCACTCTTACACTGCATGCAGTCAGATGGGCTCGTAATAAAGTATGTTTACCCGTTGCACTCCTCAGTCAATCTTTAGCTTATCTTACTTCACACAAAATAACTAATGAGTCTAGTACAAATGATATTACTGTACGTGTAAATCTTTGAATTATTTATAAATTGTATCAGATTCTATATATTTACTACAAACTGGTTACATGTCAAAGTTCAGACGTTCTGAAATAATTGCTTCTCCAGGACTGCTTTTAATGTTAAGGAAAAATATGCGCATTCAAAATCTGACCATCAGTTAATTTATGTACTTGTGATAACCGTAGGCTAAAGGTGAAAAGTTTTACGTTTCTATATATACATTTGTAGCTCACTTAACTAATTCATGAATATAAAATGGGATGTATTTAATGGATGGTCAAGATCGGGACATAACTCTTACTGTCAATCTAACTGAAACATAAAAAATCTATGTAGATGTTTCATAGTCAATTAACTATAAATACATCATAAAAGAAAACTCCCGCAGTTTTTCCCCCCAAGCCAGCACATGTAATTTACTTAAGGTTTTATCTTGCTGACTATTCTGTTAGGTTTCTCAGCATTATTCCTTGCCCATTTCCACTTTCTCTTCCAAGAATATAACACACACACCCATCTCCTCTTTCATACCTACTATATACATGTATGTCACTATATGATAAAGCTATTTCAGCAATCTGTTTCAGTTTGGTTAATCAATAATTTTATACTAAGTTCCTCATATTGACATCAATATATATATCAGATTAACACACGTGTAATCATAAATGTATGTACTGTACACATATGCCACAAACGTACACTCAACACAGCTGTACTCATATGTACACGCATACACACATTCTAACGGGTAACAAAAGGAATGCGTACCTGATGAGCAGGTATACATAAAATCGTAATATGTACTTGTTAAAACAAAAGTCCTTTCTAAAGCATATAAAAGGTTAGCTAAAGTGTAGCGACTTTAGCTGTACTGGTATGTGACATTTGTCAAGTCTGACCCTCGGGGTAAGTATATATTGAGTAATACCTATGTGGTTCGGCCTGGAGGTCGTGTATATATATATATACATACATTATATATAAGCAGAAAAATGATCCTTACGGACGAAGAAATATTATAAAAAGAAAATTTCTCAACAACGAGTCTTTAGTACTTTCATCTCTACTAGGAGATTCTTCAGACTGTTTATTTGAAGTATAGGTTGTGACGTCATATAATAGTTCGCTATATCGACGTCCGCTATATACGTAACCGCCATAGCGATATCACAGCAATAGAAATACATCAATTATGGTCTTAAGGCAAAGAGCACTACTTGTTTAGGATTAGAATTACTAGTTATACTATTATTTACAACAACAAAAAATAGTAATAATAAAATAAAAACAAAAATAAAAACTCTCCCTTTGTGGGGTGAACTCGGGACCATTACATTACTGATCCGACACACTACCGATGTCACTACTTAACAAACGTAACTCTTCTATAGACAAAATAGAAATGATCATACATATATATAGCCAACCGTTTTCTAGCATCTTCGTACCAACACAATACACTATAGTTCTAAGATATATTACAAAAAAATGTTATGTTTAATGTAAGTATGAAAGTCAATAAGATCAACATGACTGAGAACGCAACTTTTCAAGATGCATAGAAATGCAGAAACCAATTTCCTAGATTTGTGTATTTAGACAAATCATAGTCCTTATTTAGCTGTGAAATTCTAATTCTATAATTACTTAATTATAAAATTGCCCCTGTTTTAGTGTTATAACTAAATTACAATTGACAATATGTCATTATAGCTGACCATGACATCAAAATATCATTAACCTATACAGGGGATGGGTGGAACTAACTGCTGGTCCGCTGGGCTATGTGGCCAGTCAGGTTTTCTGGGTGGACCAGCAGGTTTTTCAACAAGCTATCCCGAGGCACCAATAGATATTTTGTAAATTTATTTAAAATTACATCATTCGAAAAGCTTTATTTCAAAACCCAGAATGCAACAGAGTTATTTCAAAATTTTCGGGGAAACATATCCCTGGACTCCCTTGCATCAAGCGTCTTAGCACTCGCCAAGGCCTCCCGTACTCGTTTTCTGGACCATTGCATTTCAAACAGGGCTATTGAATTTTTACTTCAACTGGGCCAGTAACCTTTCTTTTTAATTACACCCCTGCTATAGCTGTAATTTTCATAGTGTTTTAACTTACAGTTGTCGGTGTCATAGTGTCAAAATTCATACCTGACAATTGCAATGTCATGGTGTTCTAACTTATAACTGACCATGACGTCAAAGCATCATAACTTATAGCTGTAATCATCAAAGTGTTTTAACTTAGTTGTCGGTGTCATTGTGTCATAATTTATGGCTGACAATGTACGTCATAGTGGTACAACTTAATAGCGGAAGATGTCATAACAGACAGTGCTTTATGATTTAATTAAAACTGACAAGGTAGCATAGCTAAGTAATACAGCAATCATCCACATCTGTACAGAAAGTTAAATTTTCAGTAAATCTTGTCTGATCTATATAGGCTTATACATTACAAATTACTACATGCATAGTATGAATCGAAGTTGACTCGACAAGGATCCCAAAGCTGCATATTAATTTGTATGGGTGACAAACATGGGACCGCCAGTGTACCTCCCCAATGGATGACCAACGTTTTAAACCAGTGACCATATATATGTATACAACTATGTTCAGAACATTTAAGAACAACTGAATGACTACTACATTAAGTTAAAATACAATTATTCTTATATAAAAATGTCATATTCAGAGAGTTTATGTAACGTTTATGGTTCACATATTTGCATAATTCTAATTTGAATATACATGGTTACCTGAATATTAATTCAATAAATGCTTGCTGTGTAATTGACGAGGCTGGCATACTACGTTTACAATATATATGAATTCATGAAAACAGAAGAAAAATCTCACCAGGTAAAATTCCAGAAAAATTATAAATTTAGGCCAGTTTGACCAGGAAATACATAACCTGCTATTTAAACTGTCATAATTTGTTCTGTTTTATGAATAATTTGTATACACATGTTACAATATACTGCCGTCTATAGCCAGCATTATAATTATACATAGAGAGACAAGGGACAATGTATATAGGTACAGATGTATATTAATAATGAGAGAGGTCTTACCTGTCAACAGCTCGCCATCATAAAGATGTCACAATTGTCCTTTCCTCAACATAATCTCCAACTGGATTGTCACAGACTTGATGATCTAAGAGGTCAAGGTCGGCCATGTCGCCTTCAATCGTGTCCTTGACCCCTTCACAGTTCAAGGTCACTTCTCCCTGGTCTTGGTCAGGTTCTGTTTGTTCCTCATGGAATCCAGATTCTGAAGATTCATCATCCGAGTCACCGTTGGAGATGCAGAATTTCACATCCTCATCTTGTTTTAGCTCGTCAATGTCATTACCGATTTCCAAATCAATGATTCTTGCACAAATCACCTCCATTTTTGCTTCATGTAGTGCTGGGGAATCAAGTGAAGGGTCACTGAGCGCATGTTTCAGTGCCTCCTCCTCGTCTAATGAACCGTTGGTTATCGTTGATTCGTCTTCTTCCTCTACACTTTCAAAGCTTTCATCTACAGTCTCGTAGGTCTCTACAATTGAACCGAGTCGCGGTGCAGTGTTAGATTTAGAAATCGGTGGCTTAAAATGTTGACCTGTACTCAAAAACTGTGTTCGTTTTGGAAGCACCTGGCCAGATTGTGGCAGAGAGTTTGTCCGCTGAAGGGTTAGGCGATAATTTTGACGTCGGGTTTTCTCACGCATAAATTCTTTTAATGCAAAGCTTAATTTATCATGAAGATGCACTGCCAAAGCTTTTGCCTTGGCTTCGGTTTTACAGAAAACAGCATGGCATCGGAGCTCCATTTTCATCTTTTTCCCCTCATGTCGGTATACCCAGACAAACACCCGAGGGTACTTCGGATGAGCTATACAATATGATATCCTATGTGCTCTGTATTCCGTGAGTCCTTGCTCCTTCGTGAAAGCTTTTAAACCGCAGCTTGTAACGGTCAGTTTCATTTCAAGTCCAGGGTTCGAACTCCGGACATAATTATTCCATATAACTGCAGCTGGCTTGTCAACGCACCCGTCCCCTTTCATCATGGCTGTCTGTACGTTTCCTAGGTAACGGACTTTGTAAGTCGGTTCCTTTTCACTTATAGACAAATTCCGCTTCCAAGAGAAAAAACTCATCCTGGTAGCTGATGTGACGTACCACAAAACTATAAATAGAATTACCTACTACAATGTCATTCAGGGTAACCGGTATGTCTATCTGGGATGTTTTTGAGAGCCTTACAATCCGTCTGAAAATGTGTAAACATTTATCTACAGATCGTCATCGATTAATGTTTATTAGGAAAAAGTATTGTTTTTTATCCCGACACCTTTAAAATGTAGGTATCAAAGAGAGTAAATCGGTCTACTGTAGGAAGATTAGCCTATATAATAAAGTCTATGTACATATATATATACCGGTGACCTCATTTTACAAACAGAACCAATCCTACCTTCAACGAAGCACACCTGTCCTTTTGAAAGATCGACAATATTCAAGCGTCATTGTTAAATTCCCATTCCAAGCTGATAGAGAAAATCCAAATGTTTAAATCTCAAAGATCGAACACTAATGTCACAAGAAACTTCCGTTCTTTGAGCTAGCTCTCCTGGACAATCGCCATCTTCCTTGTAGTGTGTATATATATATGTCTCTCCAGTGTGCTGTCAACCGGAACAAATTATACATTACGGGCCGAATAGGTTTGTGTGTCGACGATATCACATGTTTTAGGATACGGGAATCTGATTGGCTAATTCAGTCGACTTACCTGTAGAAGCGATTTTGAGTGCTATTTGAAGAATGTCAGAGTCATTGTATTGATATATCTTGATAAGTAAAAAAGGACAACGGAAGCCAGGTGTGACGAAATGTTTACAGTACTTCTTCAGGGCAGTAAGCGTTGTACATGTACATCACTAGTTCAATTTTCAATCAACCAATATATGAATTGAATTATTATTGTTTATAATTATGAACAATATTGTTTGAACTGGAAACTTATATAATGCGGTCCCACTCAGGCCTGAACCAATACTTACTAGGTATACAGGTATATTATCAATACATTTTCATCTTTATTCACTTATCATTACATAGATCTACACCATATGCATAATTATGATGCTTTTTAGCATAAAAGCTAATACTGTTGAAAGGAGTCGTACACGTTTTCGGTCATACAAAGAATTATTCATTAAACGTTTGCGTGCATAGAGATGGCGCAGTTTTTTTCACGTGCAAACGTCCCCCTATAGTCTGTTCAATTTTATGATGGGGCGGAGATAGACTATCGATCCATACCACAAAGCAATAAAAAGATATCGGTGTTATTTTGGACTAGCTGTCCCCTCCCAATTCCATCACTTCACTGAATCGGTTGGATCTCTTTCAGTGAAAGGGTGGGGTTTGTTGCTTGGACCATGACACCGCCATTCATTATCTCCCATGCACTTAATAGTTATCAGACTGTTACCATATATGCACTATGTGTGTGCTATATATGTATATACACATGCCAACTTGAATAAATTACCGTACTGAGTCATTCATTCATAACTTTATTTCCGTCTACGATAAAAAAAAAACACACACACGAAAATTTAGGAACAAATGGGAAAACCAAAAGAAATGTACAAAGTTATTGATAAACAGAAATGAATTTGTCTTTTGATTATTCATTCATATATAAAGGTTTACTCCGTTCTCACGCGCAGTTTGATATATATGCACACATTATCTGGAGGCGGTGCACTGGGCGCCCCCTCCGGATCCGCCCTAAACGCGTTGATATGTGATTGTTTTCCGGTTATTAACATCAATGTTTCAACAGAAAACAAATATTTTTTACAAGCTAAAAATATATGTCCACTCGCTTCGTTGGAAGTAGAAATACAAGCAAATGAAGGTTTAAAAAATCTTGTATATATTTCGGGTAAATTAGAATGTTCATTCCGTGTCACTAGGCAAGTCCTACGGAGGGTTGAGGGGAGGGAGGTGCCAGTTGCGCCGCATTCCCACCCATAGGATCCGCCTGTGAGCAGTACATTGACCCACAGGGACATGCTAATTTGTTGCAGCTATATTTAGACCCAAACTCAGGTGTTCAGAGATTTTTTACACGTTTATGGGTATCATCATTGGGGTGGCATTTTAACAGAAACTTGATTTTAAAAAAAATGTAAAATTACTTTGAACACCTTCTTTCAGGTCCACATATATAGCCATAAGAAATTATCAGGTCCTTCTGCACTGAGCTGTTTATATACCGAGGTAAACCCCCGACTTAAGTTAACAATAAGCCTTTATGCGGTCAAACAACCATTTAGGGTCACCTACATTTGGTAAACCTTATTTAATTAATAGATTGCTATACCTGTGGAGCTTTACAGTACATGAATCCATCAAAACGATGTTTTTTTCACTGCCATGTGTAACTGAATTTTTGCAATACCTGTTGTACAACTTGCTAGGTTCGTATTTTTGTGTTATTTGTCTGATATAAAAAGACCTGCTGTACCCACTCCATGTCGTAAAAGGTGACTTAAGTGGAAACTCCTGCAAATCGAGGTTTTACTTTCGTGTTTTCTTTTAGAGGGCACTCAATAAACGAACAATGTGATCTACGTATAGTGCCCCGTTGTGTTTGTTCCTGTGGCGTCTCCCTATTCACCCATCTTTGTATGGAAGCCAAGCTGTTAACCCTTGTACAAAATACCCCATGGACCTGCGAATTTGTTGCAGCTGTATTTATTCCTAAACTAAGATGTTCAGAGTAATTTTACACGTTTAAGGGGTTTAAATCAACAATATAAGATTACATCAATAGAAAAGTTCTAGAACAGAGAAATAAACAGACCACCAGTGATAGCGTAACACTCGAAATACTACACAATTGTCAAAAAACAATTAAAAGTAACTAAGCAACAAAATTAACGATTATTTATTACAATTGAACTTAACTTTAATACCTAAAAGATATCATTCATGTTCTTTTGTAGATATAAACTAACTGGGATATGTGAACTTATTTAGATTTGGTTTGTTTGTGCTTTACGTCACAGCTGTGGTCTTTGAACCACAGACCTTCGGGCAATATATGTACCTAGCTAGCGACTGCCAAGTACGCGTTATTAATTCAGGACAAATTTAATAAACAAAGAAATTCTCACGTAATCTTTAATACTTAAGAAATATTGATTACACTAAAAGATAACTTTAACTGATTAGAGATACATTTAGTTCAATGTTTTAATGCGTTGCACTATGAACATCCTCGATACTCTAGGGATTACGCTCACTTTCGCTCTCTGCGCAGTGCGTAAGTGAGCGAAACCCCTGGATTATCTAGGATGCACTATGAAAGGATTAAAACGTATCTTTCCAATGTTTACATAACTTTCGGAATACTCTAGAAATGGATTCTTCATTTATTTTGACATTCAGTTCCACGGACGAGTCTTAAATGCACGAAGTGGTCCTATGGTACAGTAAACGTTTACCCTATGGAACAGTAAATTTTTATACACTAATTTACTCTATGGTACAGTAAATGCTTACCATAATTACCCTATGGTGCAGTAAATGTTTACTTTGTGGGTGAAATGCATCGACATACTAATGTTTATGTGGGTGCTGCCTTCTTCGTATTTCTAGTAGCTTTTGAATAAATCTATGAACTCAATAAATACGATGTAGTTGAAGCCATGTCCCTTTTGATAACGATACACCTAACGCATTAATTAGGATTTATGTTAATTAGATTGGTAATTAACGCAACCAAAACAAAAAAACTACAGAGATAAACACTTGACAATAAATTACTATTTGTATTTAGAAATGAAAAATGAATTAAAAAATGAATAAATAAAAGTCGACACGCAGTGCATATTTCTGAGGTTAAGACACACACACAGGTAACTGCACCTTTAATATTCGGTCATACATGCATATGCAGTTTGCCAAAATTGATTGCACTGTATCACACAGCTATTTCGTCCTTCTAGGAATTATCGGCGATGCTAGCTATAGGTGACAAGAAGGTGAAAACCCATGTTGGGTCTAAACTATTGGAGAAACAGAAGGGGAGGTGGGTAAAACCACCTACTTTATAAGTTGGAATATTCAGAGTTGTACTGCTCATTTTAGATTAAGTCATTTATATAAAGTGTGTATTTTATGACCATTCCACTACACTAAATATATTACTGTGGCTATCGAGATTACAGCCAACCTCGGGACTAAAACATCCAATCCACCAGCAGAGTATGTACCTTATATCTTAGAATTTAAACGTAATTCACACATAAAGATAAGTATTTAAGAAATAAAATGATGTTAATTTGAGAATTAAAGGGACCTCTAGGAAGAACTTTGCGTCTTGATAAGTGCTTGTTTATATAATCTAACTAATATTGGGACATTAAGTAGCCGGACTAAACACAACCGTTTAGTACTCAGCGACTAAACAAAAATAAACCGCAATAAAACGACTTGGCAGAGACGTATACAATGTAGTATATTGCAGTGGCGGATCCAGAGTTTTTGGGGGGGGCTTCAGGAACACACACACACACACACACACACACACACACACACCCATCCCCCTGATAATTTTCTTTTAAAAACATGTTCACCATTTTCCTCAATTTGTCCCCATCTCTGGATCCACCACCACTGATATTGTGTGTCTCCTCAAAATTTGATAAATATAATTATACAAGTAGAGGATATTTTACCGGATTAGGATGACGACAGTTTTTACCACAGGGACCTACGAAACACTTACAGCTATACTTGGACCTAAACTGGGGTGTTCGGAGTAATTTTACAAGTTTTAGGGGTTTAGATCAACTTTCGGTAAAAAACAAACAAATGCCATCCCTAATGATGATAACAATAAAATGTGTAAAAATACCCTGAACACCTTATTTTAGGTCCAAAAATAGCTGAAACAAATTCTCAGGTCCATGCAGTTTTTACTATATGAAAACATGATAGGATATAGTAATGTCTGTTCTTTTTATACAGACCAGAGACGCAATCAATTCTCAAAGTGATCACCAAGCGATGAATTATACATAGGAGTTATTCCCCTTGTTATAGTACAAATCAGTAAAACACGAGAGTTACCTTTCTTCCAGGCAAAACAAAATAAAACAATTAAATACTAGAACAGCTTTTAATCACGAGAATTCCATTAGAATTTGATAACTTCTTAACTAACATGAGATGTATGCTTTCTGTAGATGTATTGTATTTTGTACTGTTTATATGTTCGACATCCTATTCAAGCCTGATGACCCGAGGGAAATTAGATCCCCAACCTGTAGGAAGATAGACATGTTTCGTACATATCATTTCAACAAATTTACCCAACTTTAAGTTTCGTATTTATTTAATATTTGAGTTACTTTTATACGGTGAGTTGATTGGAAGGGATACTACCCCATGTTTGGGTGCAGCTATTGGAATATCAAAATTAACATACAGACGTGAAAGCAGCATTTCCCCGTAAACCATGTATTCACTGGTGACAACACTCAACAGCGACAAAAAGCATACTCTACGCAGGCCGATAAAGGCTGATTGGTCCGAATGTGTAATCCCATTCACATTATTACCTAGACTATGATCTATCCCTGTCAGAAATTTCGCCC